TGTGGCAGGCCGGGGTGTAATGTTGTTGGTTCTGAACACTACTTTTTGTTGGAAGAGGGTGGAAGAGATCCAGGGAAGCAGGCATTAGTAAGCTATCCTTTATCTTTTGTTATCTTACTGTGCAAGTGACTAAACTTTAGGTATGTTATACGCTTCTTCTTCTTCTCCTTCTCCTTCTTCTCCTTCTTCTCCTTCTCCTTCTCCTTCTCCTCCTTCTTCTCCTCCTCCTTCTCCTCCTCCTTCTCCTCCTCCTTCTCCTCCTCCTTCTCCTCCTCCTCCTCCTTCTCCTCCTCCTTCTCCTCTTCCTTCTCCTCCTCCTTCTCCTCCTCCTTCTCCTCCTCCTTCTCCTTCTCCTCCTCCTTCTCCTCCTCCTTCTCCTCCTCCTTCTCCTCCTCCTTCTTCTCCTCCTTCTTCTCCTCCTTCTCCTTCTCCTTCTCCTTCTCCTTCTTCTTCTCCTTCTTCTTCTCCTTCTTCTTCTCCTTCTTCTTCTCCTTCTCCTTCTCCTTCTCCTTCTCCTTCTTCTTCTCCTTCTCCTTCTTCTTCTCCTTTTTCTTCTCCTTCTTCTTCTCCTTCTTCTTCTCCTTCTTCTTCTTCTTCTTCTTCTTCTCCTTCTCCTTCTCCTTCTTCTTCTCCTTCTTCTTCTCCTTCTTCTTCTCCTTCTTCTTCTCCTTCATCTTCTCCTTCTCCTTCTCCTTCTTCTTCTTCTTCTTCTTCTTCTCCTTCTTCTTCTCCTTCTTCTTCTCCTTCTTCTTCTTCTTCTTCTTCTTCTTCTTCTTCTTCTTCTTCTTCTTCTTCTTCTTCTTCTTCTTCTTCTTCTTCTGTTCCTTCGAAATGGACTTTCTCTGTTGTAATTCAGCGACCCGTAAAGTTTGGCATGCACCGGTGTTTCTCTTGTCCATGTTTCGCCTGGAAATGTATTTAAGACAGTCTTGGAGGACGTGGTCTGTTTTCTCAGGTGCCAGTCCGCATGTAAATATGGCTGATTTGCCAGTCTTAAATTTTGTATACAAGTAAATGTGGCTGCGAAGTCGATTATGCCCTGTTCTAAGGCCTAGAATATGACTTGCTCTGGTTTGTCTAAAATATCGTCTACATCTTTTTCTTCTTCTTCGCGTACACCAGCTGTAAACTCTGGTGGAAAGTTCTGGTTGTTCATCTACTTCTGGACTTCAATCCTGTTTCAGAACCTGTGTTGCGTGTGCATCCGTTTGACAGATCTGACTAATTTGTATGCAGACTGTTGGTTCCTTGCCTCTCAGGCAGATGCACTGCCTTTTTGAAGGAAGCTCCCAATTAGTTAACTCTTACGACATGCTTTTGTTTTCTTGTTTTCCCTATAACAGGGCCCCGGAACCCACACGATGAAAATCGTATTTTATGTCAGTTTTGATAGCTCTTTGATTCATTTGATTATTATCTTCTTCTGTTAGCGAGTATATCAGCTCTTTTGTTTCCGGGAACTCCACAGAAGGATAGTATCCACTGTACATGTATAGTTACCTTACACAGGTTGCCTAGTTTTCCAGACTGGAGTGCCTGAAGTACAACTCATGCATCTGTAAGGAATACCATGGGTTGTTTCAAGATAGACAGCTTTTAGTATCCATATTCTTTTCTAGCAAACATGCCGTATTGTGCTGTCACCTTCAGCATACACTGAATAGTTTTTTTTTTTAATTTTTTTAAAGGGACTCGGGCATACAATGCTAGACCGCTATCTTTGTAGACCATTTACCGTTAGATGGATGACGTGATCAAATGAACACTAACTACTTGTATGTCCCATTATATTTCTTCCTGGAGTCCATAAATTGTGACATGTGCAATAATGTATATCCGTTAGAGTTATAAAGTCGTCCCCTTGTAGGATGCAAATTTTTTTTTTTTACTTGAAGCCCCACCCTGGCTTTTGCCGGGGGCCCTAAACATAGCCGGGCCTGAAATATGACCTAACGGCTGAACGGGGTTTCTGGGACCTCTCCACGGGTGATTCTCATCCGCATGGTGGCACTTTGTGTTACCGGGTGCTTATCGCTTGTGTGATGTCCTAGTGGGGTAAAATCTACTTACTTACTTACTTATGTCTCCTCGCAGCCTTTGTATCGTGTACTGTCAGTAATTAGGGATCCGCGTGGTGTAGCGGCTAGACGCTTGCCTACGGATCGAAAGGTCGTGGGTTCAGGTCCTGACGAAGCCAGATATTTGTCAAAAGTCGACCTAGAGTTAAACCAGTACCAGGTGAAGTCCTGGGAAGTAAAGGCGGTCGGCGTGAGGTTGACCACATCACCCACCGAATGCTGGTTGGTCTGTATATAAACTGTTGGTCTAGACTCTAGCCAAGTATGTTCAATAGGACAGGTTTGAGGTTTGAGGGTTTTGTAGTAACCTATAAGTGCTCCGCACTTCTTCTAACTCAAGTCTGAGTCTGAAGAATTGCAGCACATTGCACAAACTCTGTTGCACCAGCGAAGATCCTGAAATACTTAGGGTAGATTTTTAACTCCAAATGTTGCCCGGCGTTAGGCTAGTCTTTTCGATTTCCAACTGCCAAGGGGTTTTTTACGTGCGCAACAATGCACATGGGCGTCCGATCTCACTACCCAGAGACCAGGGGAAATTACTAGAAGTCCAAGTCCACGTGAAAAAATTCCAGCCCTAATTGGGGACTGAACACAGAGCCTCTAGCACTCGAGGCGGACACTTTGCCTCGAGATCCCCTTCAATATGAAAGTAGGCGTGGGAAGGGGTTCTTTACTGGCTTCAATTACCTACTGTCAGTAATTTCTATTACCAGACGTAACTCCATGTCAAGAGAACAAACTATTCAGCGTCTGCTTTCTAAGACAGTTGTCTTCCACAGAGGTGGGGGGGGGGGGGGGGGTGTGCTAGAATCTTTTTAAAGGAAAGGGGGGGGGGGTGCTAGAATCTTTTTAAAGGGGCGTCAAGCAATTCTGAAAATTCAGATTTAAATACCGGATCAACATCATGGCACACGGACCCATAAGTGCTCCGTTCGACTTCTAAAGTCAGAAGAAGCTCAGCACAGTGCACAGACTCTGTAGCACCGGCGAGGATCCTGAAATACTTTAGATAGATTTTTAACTTCAAATTGTTCCCGAGCAGCGACGTTAGTCAACTCTTTTCAAGGGATCTTTTACGTGTGAAACAATGCACATGGGCGTCCGATTTCACTACCCAGAGACAAGGGGAATTACTTAAAGCCTAACAACTTACCGAAAATCTTGCAATTGCCTGTGATTCCAACTGAAATATATATTTTCAATATAAAGTATAAACGCAATTTTACTTTTAATATTGAGTGAAGATTATCAGATGTGAACATCAACTAAAGAATATGCGAGAAAACTAAAAACCTGTGAAATTAGATGATTGAAAAAGGGAGCGAAAAGAAGTAGAAGATCGTCAGAGAAATGAAGAGATTAGAATTATTGGAACAAGTATTGGAATAATAAGTTCAAGTATTTGGGAACATTTATAACATCCCCCCGTATGGATTCCGGGGCCCCATTGTGGGGAAAACAAGAATAGACCCACTGCCTCCCCAAAAACATGTCGTAAGAGTCGATAATTGGGGAGCTTCCTTTGAAGTCGAAGTGCATCTGCCGGAGAGGCAAGGAACCAACAGTCTGTATTCAAGAAAATGAGATCTGTAAAACTGATGCACACGCAAGACTCAGGTTCTGGAGCAGGACTGCAGTTCAGTAGTGGACGAGCAACCAGAACTTTCCGCCAGAGTGTACAGCTGGTGAACGCGAAAAGGAAGAAAAAGATTTATAACATCAGATGGACGGCGTGGGACAGAAATTAAGAGCAAAATTGGTCAAGCAAAGGCAGTTTTTTTAGGAGATGAAATGTATTTTATGTAATAAATCACTTTCATTAAACATCAGTAAACGAGTATTGAAATGTTATATCGAACCTGTTCTGTTGTATGGTGGTGAATCTTTGGAATGTGAGCAAACACATTAAGCCGGCCAGGGACTTCGAGAACAAGGGCTTGGTTTTGTCCCACGCCGTTACGGTCCTTCGACATGGTGTATGCTTGGTTCGGGCCGTCAACATGGGGGTCGAAGACTTGCTTGGAGGCAACTGAGATGTGGCTCTTGAAAAGAATGTTGCGAATACCTTAGACTGCCAGAATAACTTATAATGATTGCCTGGACATGGCTAATGAAAGTAGAACATTATAGACAACAATGAAAAGGAGACAAAGTTATTTGGTCAAGTAACGAGAAAAGGAGCACTGAAAAATATCGTGACGACTGGAAAGATCACTGGTAGAAGAAGCAGAGGCAGACCAAGAGAAATGATGGTGGATGGTTAAAGACTGTGGCAGGGCGGAATATCCTCAGCAGAATTGGCCTGGAACACCAAAGACCGATATCTGTGGCGTGAACGCATACACTAGCTGACAGAGCACTTAATGATGACGATAATGATTAATTTGCAACATGTGTTATTGAATGAATTATCATTTTGAAGATAAATATTTTCTAATAGCCCATTTATTTATCTTCAAAATAATAATTCATTAAATAACAGATGTTGCTCGTTAATTAAACTGTACTTCAATTTGTATATAAATCTACTCGACAACAATTGTTACCACCGACCGGCCTCACAAAAACGGGAATTCCCGTTTGAGCTGCACGACTTTGTCATCATCATGTAGCAGGTCCTTTGTAGAACGTCGCTGTCATCGCGGTCTGTCTGAAAGAAACCTAGTCTCTCGCCAAGTGAAAATAAAGAAAATAATTGGAATAAAAAAAATTCCAATCACTCCCTTTTATTATGCGGTGTAGGTGTCTTTGAGACTGAGGATTTACGACCGAATGGCTAGTGGTGTCTCAGCGACTTTGCAGGGGAGGACTTCATTTGCCCCAGACAGAAAAAATCTACAGCCTTACCGAGGATTCGAACCTGAGTCTCCCGCTCGAGAGCCTAGCGTTCTAACCGTTCGGCACAAAAAACTGCACAAATCACAAATTAAAAAACATATCAGCTTGGGGTTTATCTCGATAACCACGGAAGATTAACGCGACACTCCGGCTCCACGTACTTTCCAACACACAACTCTCGCTCGTTTGGCTTACTTCCCCCAAAACCTGGCACCGCAATAGGTAAATAAGATCATGAGACTGTCTTGCCACGTGTACTTTCCCCAAAAGTAGTTTACCATCTGTGTGGTATACCCGAAACACAGGGAACTTCACTAATCCAACTGTCGTCCAGTTATCAGCAATAGATTCTGGTTTAATGTCTATTTTATATGTCAGCGATTTAAACTTGTCTGCATTTTCTGGCTTCTTCCATTTGATATCAATCTGCATTGGCATGTCGTCGTCTACGATGTATTCATTGCTCTCTATTTCCACCGGTTTTGGTTTCAACTCAGGGTCGTCTGTTTGTGATACGTAATCCAGTGACACATTCTGTGCAATGCGCCCAATGTTGCCAATCCTGAAACAGAAATGTAGAAGTGAATTAGTACACCAAGAAACAATAGACCAAATGGTTCGGATTTTTGTGGAGATTACCACATGAAAGTATACCACTAGAGTAGCGGTTCTCAAACAGTTTTCGCCGCGGCACCCTTGTCAGGCTGAACAATTTCGCGGCACACATGCCCTTAAAGCGGTTTGAATACTTAGGAAAAGAAGAAGAAAAGTGCAAATTTAATGTCCATTTGTCTTTAATGCGATGAATAAAAATATGTGAATTCATTCTGCATTATTTCCTTTTCATCTTCATTTTTGGAAATTCTCTCCATCATGGATGACCCTGCATGAAGAGAATAAACGCGGCGTTTGAAGATTGCTTATCCTTTATGTACTAAATAAGAATGATTGCATTCCAGATGTCTCTGTAATTTAACCAAGCAGCCGTTAGCAACGCTTCTATAACTGTTAACGCATTGCCCTTCCGGTGCCTGTTCATTCCCAACCGAAACAAAGCCAAACAAAGTGAGGTAGCTAGGATCATATTTGCTTATTTTTCCTCGGATTTTCATTTGGTCATGAGTTGCCTTTCCGCGAACTGAGGCAGCCCAGCTTGGATGATTTAGGCTCGCAGGTGTCTGCTGAGACAATGTAACCACAACTTTACTTATCCATTGCAGCTTAGCGAGTTTAGGTAGAGGATCGGTCGTACCTTGAAATAAATACAATGTTAGTTCTTAGCGTAACGGTTGCCATTTTATGCAGTATGAAACACGGCTGAGTGTGAAACAAACAACACATTCTTTTCGACAGCGCTGAGGGAAGACAACTTAAATTTTAACTCTTAAGTATCTGCATGCCTTCTTTAAAAATTTCACAATGTTTAGCCGACTTTTCTTGATTACTGCCGGGACACCCCTGGCATACGCTCGCGGCACTCCTGGCCTACCCTTCCACCACCCCTGGCATACGCTCGCGGCACTCCTGGCATACGCTCGCGGCACTCCTGGCATACGCTTGCGCCACCCTTGGCATACGAAAACCTCTAAATTATGCCATTCTATATATCATTTAAAAAAAACTCTAAATTATGCCTTGAAAAAACCTCTAAATTATGCCTTGAGAAACCCTCTATATATATATATATATATATATATATATATATATATATATATATATATATATATATATATATATATATATATATCACGAGAGAAACCTCTAAATTATGCCCTGAGAAAACCTCTTTATATCACGAGAAAACCTCTAAATTATGCCACGAGGAAACCTCTAAATTATGCCCTGAGAAAATCTCTATATATCACGAGAAAGCCTCTAAATTATGCCACGAGGAAACCTCTAAATTATGCCCTGAGAAAATCTCTATATATCACGAGAAAGCCTCTAAATTATGGCATGTGTAAACCTCTAAATTATGTCTTGAGAAGACCTCTATATATAACGTTGGGATGTTTTCTCCAGGTCATACTGGTGGGTTGGGAATGAAGGTATCGGCCAAACAAACCAAAATCGACAAGCTGCTCAACAGAAGTATTTGAGGTTCTCGAGCCTATCACACGAACCTCAGACGTTCGCGCCAGCAGGCCAGCCCACGGCCAGCTCCAGATTGTTATATGCAGCCGGACGTGGCCAGCCTCAACACCCCAGAATCAGTGCAGTAGGTCCCAACCTTCCCGAAGCCACGACCCTTTAATACAGTACATCATGATTGTACCCCCAGCCATACAATATTTTTTCGTTGCTACTTCGTAACTTCAAGGAATATGTGTTTTCCGATGGTCTTTGGCGATTCCTGTGAAAAGGCCGTTAGACCCGTAAAAAGATCACGACCCACAGACTGACAACCAATGATCTGGTGTATTCATACGATTATCTTTACACTGAAAATAATCTGTAGGAAACACCGTTCACCAAAGATGGGAACATGAAAATGAAATGAACGTCAGAACCCCCCGGGAGCGAGTGAACAGTGCGGAAGCGCAGATAGATCAGTACGGTCTGAGAATAGCGCTGCGAGGAGTTACCAGGGGATCTGGCTGACCCTCAACACTCAAGGGAAGGGCGAGACAGACAATCAGACAGCTACTGGTGCCATGGGAACTGGAACTCTTCGTTTGCTGTTGAAGATAGGGACAGAGCGCTTATGGGGGTGTCCCGGGTGCTATGGTGTCGATTTCAACATTCAATATGAACTTTAGATGCTGTAAATCAAATCGGGTATTGTGACAGCTAGCCTACCTCTTACAGCATAAGACCATCCCGAGTATCACTAGGGAAACATCTCACACAAAGCATATTCATCCCCACTCAGTGCTACAAGTGCCAAATATGGTTACTCACAACAAACCAGAAAAAAAATAATGGTTCTTTATTAATATCTTACCCCCAGATGACGTAACAGGGCTGTCCAACATTTTAGAGGGTGGTAAGACTGGGCTTCCTGGCTTTCTGATGCGTTTAACGACCCCAAAACATCTAGAACTGACCCTAACCCCAACCCACCTACGTCCCACGAGAGAGTGCAGCCTAGGTCCCACAACTGCATGCAGCCTAGGTCCCACGACAGCATGCAGCCTATCTACCATTTTCCCTGCTTTGGGTAGGATATTAATAAAGCACCCAAAAAAAATAATAACCATGGAAATGAGATGTCTGAGAAGGCTGCAGGTGTAAACAGGAGAGATAAAATCATAACAGATCACAACAGAACAATTCGACACGCTACCAAATTTTAATTATATACAAAGACAGCAAAACCAGTGGTTCTTCCCACTTAGAGAGAATGTCTTGTGGCGTCAAAAAAATAATTAAGGTATACATCACAAGAGAAGGGCGTCGAGCACAAGATAGACCAAGAAAAATATGGAAAGATAACATCAGAGAAACCTTACAATAGTAGGATGAGATTATTCCTCGTGTGGTTTCCGGGGCCCTATTATAGGGAAAGCAAGAATAGAACCACTGCCTACTCAAAAGCATGTCGTAAGAGTCGACTAATTGGGAGCTTTATTCGAAGTCGGAGTGCATCTGCCTGAGAGGTAAGGAACCAGCACTCTGCCTATAAATGATTCAGATCTGTAAAACTGATGCACACGCAACACTCAGGTTCTGGAACAGGACTGCAATCCGAAAGTGGATGAACAGCCAGAACTTTCTGCCAGAGTTTGCAGCTGGTGAACACGAAGAAAAAGAAGAAGATGAGTTTATGATCGAGTGGGCTACAAGAGCACGAAGCAGAACCGTATATCTCCCTCAACACCCGAAGCGGTAAAAGAGAGCAAGTGAAGAAGAAGAAAAACAAACACATGTCTTACCTTTGAGCAATGACCCGACGACCGGCAGATACTGCCATGCGATCTGTGACTGTAGCTAGCTCCTGCATCTCGATCCCATACACTTCACCGACATCGTTTCCATCGCCTTCCTCACGACACAGTGAATGTGATAGTTTCAAAGGTGTTGACTTTTTCCCAAAAGAAAATCCACCGTTGACTGCAGCTTCTTGATTTAATTTCTTCTTTAATGTGGCCTGTTTATCAATAGATGACTTCCATTTTGTACCCATCGTCGCGGTTTTTAACGACAGCGCTGCTGTTTGATGGTTTTGATCGTCTGTTAAAAGCGACATTTTGTCGTTAAAAATTAACGATTCTCTTTCGATGTTAGTTTTCAGTAAACCGCGTCCAGTTAAAGTAGTGCACATCTCCAGCAAAAATTCACCGAACGCCACATCAGGAGCTCATTAAGAAAAGTCTCTGTTTTGAAGATTAAGCAAACTTAAATGAAAGTTATACTGTCAACATACACATTTTTAAGTGCTTTGTTAATATCCTACCCCAAACAGGAGAAATCAACAGGTCACGGGACAGCCTTAATATTTCAGGTGGTGGTAGATAGGCTGCACGCAGTCGTGGGACCTAGGCTGCACTCTCGCTTAGGACGTAGGTGGGTTGGGGTTAGAGCCAGTTCTAGATGTTTTGGGGTCATTAAAAGCATCAGAAAGCTGGGAAACCCAGTCTTACCACCCTTTAAAATGTTGGACTGTAATGTGACGTCATCTGGGGTAGGATATTAATAAAGCACCCATTTTTTTCAGTAGCTCGTATGTGATGTTCTCATCGAGAGTATGTTCTATCTGCTTGTCTCATCTGTGCTGCTGTCTAAGGGTCCCCACCCCTGCGACACAAATAATACTTCCTGTATGGTCATCCAACGTGGACAATTCCAGATATCCCGTTCAACCCTTTAGGAAGTTATAATTTGGGCACTCGTAATGGATACATAAAGCCATTCGAATGCCTTGATGAAACCTCTAAATTATGCATCTCTCTCTCTCTCTCTCTCTCTCTCTCTCTCTATATATATATATATATATATATATATATATATATATATATATATATATATATATATATATATATATATAATGAGAAAACCTCTAAATTATGCCTTGAGAAACCTCTATATCATAAGAAAACCTCTAAATTATGCCATAAGAAAACCTCTAAATTGTGCCACAAGGAAACCTCTAAATTATGCCTTGAGAAAACCTCTATATATCATGAGGAAACCTCTATATAGTATGAAAAAACCTCTAAATTATGCCTTGAGAAAACCTCTATATATCATGAGGTAACCTTTATATAATACGAAAAAACCTCTAAATTATGCCTTGAGAAAACCTTTATATATCATGAGGAAACCTCTATATAATATGAAAAAACCTCTAAATTATGCCATAAGGAAACCTCTAAATTATGCTTTGAGAAAACCTCTATATATCATAAGAAAATCTCTAAATTATGCCACGAGGAAACCTTTAAATTCTACACAATAATACTTATTTACAGTTGCTTAAAATCACCATCACCCACTATTTATACCCATACGATTATTTGTTTAAGAAAACGGGTTTCGGGTCGTACATGGTTAATTCCTTGTCATGTGAATTCTGATCCGATTTCAGCGAGAACAACAAACAAAAGAAGGAGGCAAACGTTTATCGCAATAAACACAATGAAAAAAAATACGCGTGTCACACATCTGTATAATTTACACGAACCTACACATAACAACAACAGTAAAGAGAACCTATAAATAAATTAGTAAGAAGAAACTCCACAGGGGAGCATGTACAGCAGAAGTCTACCAATCGTCAGTAGAAGTAATCTCTCGTCGACAAATGTTTCGGCCCACGAGCTCCTAGACATTTTCAGAGAGTGGGCCCACCTGAGTTCATGAGGCTCAGGGTTGGTTTCTCCTGCTGCACGTATTACCGGATGTTATCGGACAGGGACAAGACGAACTGGTGACTTTGCAAAAGGTACTGTGAGATATAAGTCGTCGCGGTAGCATAATTAAAGCAGTCTGCTTACCTGGACGACCAAATGGCAAGCTTACGTTTGGTTTACCAGACACGCTGGACTTTGTGGGCGGTGGCAGAGGGACACTGGCAGACACTAGACACCCGGACCAGCTCACCGAGGCCCGTCCCCCATGACGTTTCGCTATGTCCAGAGCCAGCTCGATTATAGTAACCAATCCTATGCTGGTTGACAAGACTTCTATGTCTGATGTGCCTGGCTGTGCCGATCTTTACTCCCAGTTCTCGCATTCTAGGCAGTGATCTGTACCCAGTGTTTCCCAAAATATACACTGATCGCCCTCTCTCTAGGGCACTAATAATTTAGGCACTAACCATAGGCCAATTATCTGTAACTAAGACAGAGCAGTCTAGTCTATCGGTTCTTTCATTGCTTACAACACCCGCACGCCTAAGGACAAAGATAAATGCAACTCCACGCAGTGTAGTTTTGCAATGACTCAATCCACTGTCTACGTACAGAGCCTGCATCGACCCTCTGGTTCCTGCTCATAGAATCGCAAACAACCGCACGAAAGTCTGTGTCCAAACCATCGCCTCCACCCTCATCTTTCTACTAGTAGCCATAGACATGCCACCGCTGTTTCCCTGGACTGTTTGTTCTGCCTGCAGAGCGAGCTGTCAATGCCCATACACTCTTGTGTCCTCGTACAACAGACCCTTCTAAGAAGACAAGACACATCCGAATTGCCACTGACAGCGTGTGGACTTCTGCATTGACAGTAACAGGATTCTGCTCCTGAGCGCTTGAGGCAGCGCATATTCCCGAGAGGTGAGGATCCATTAGACTGCACACAAATAAACCACATCAGTAAAACGGATGTGCACGCAAAAATAAGTTCTATAGCAAGACCAAAGTGCAGAAGTGGATAAACAATCAGAACTTTCCTTCAGAAGTTTACCTCCGGAAGACGCAAAGAAGAAGAAATTAAATAGATCAAGGATGTCACGCTGGTCTTGACCTGGATGGCAAACCAACAGGATCTGAAGGTTTGACACCAAAAGGGAAAAGAGATCAAATGCTAGAGTAACCAAGTTCAATATCCATGGAAATTATAATTCATCATCATCATGAAGCAGATCCTTTGTAGAACGTAGCTCTCATCACGGTCTGCCTGAAAGAAAAGTCTTTCGCCAGCTCTCCCGCCTCGAGTACTTTCATATTCAAGGAGTCACGTATATTCTGTGCCCATCTTCGTGTTGGTCGGCCCCTGCCCCTCCTTCCTAGTACCACGCCTTTTGCTGTTATCTTTCCAACCCATCATGGCGCTTGATATGACCAACATATTTCAGCTTCCGAGACAAGATGCTGTTTAACAGCCAATCTTCCTTGATGTTCGGATCTTTTAAAACGTTGGTACTTCTTCTCTTCTTTGTCCATGGTATTCTGAGATGGTTTTGAGGTTTGAACAACGGATCCACATCATGGCACACGGGTAGTAACCCATAAGTGCTCCGTTCTTCTTCTAACTCAAGTCTGAGGTTTGAATAACGGATCCACATCATGGCACACGGGTAGTAACCCATAAGTGCTCCGTTCTTCTTCTAACTCAAGTCTGAGGTTTGAACAACGGATCCACATCATGGCACACGGGTAGTAACCCATAAGTGCTCCGTTCTTCTTCTAACTCAAGTCTGAGGTTTGAACAACGGATCCACATCATGGCACACGGGTAGTAACCCATACGTGCTCCGCTCTTCTTCTAACTCAAGTCTGAGGTTTGAACAACGGATCCACATCATGGCACACGGGTAGTAACCCATACGTGCTCCGTTCTTCTTCTAACTCAAGTCTGAGGTTTGAACAACGGATCCACATCATGGCACACGGGTAGTAACCCATAAGTGCTCCGTTCTTCTTCTAACTCAAGTCTGAGGTTTGAACAACGGATCCACATCATGGCACACGGGTAGTAACCCATACGTGCTCCGTTCTTCTTCTAACTCAAGTCTGAGGTTTGAACAACGGATCCACATCATGGCACACGGGTAGTAACCCATACGTGCTCCGTTCTTCTTCTAACTCAAGTCTGAGGTTTAAACAACGGATCCATATCATGGCACACGGGTAGTAACCCATACGTGCTCCGTTCTTCTTCTAACTCAAGTCTGAGGTTTGAACAACGGATCCACATCATGGCACACGGGTAGTAACCCATACGTGCTCCGTTCTTCTTCTACCTCAAGTCTGAGGTTTGAACAACGGATCCACATCATGGCACACGGGTAGTAACCCATACGTGCTCCGTTCTTCTTCTAACTCAAGTCTGAGGTTTGAACAACGGATCCACATCATGGCACACGGGTAGTAACCCATAAGTGCTCCGTTCTTCTTCTAACTTAAGTCTGAGTCCGAAGAAGCTCAGCACAGTGCACAGGCTCTGTAGCACCGGCGAGGATCCTGAAATATTTTGGGTACATATTTCTTCTAAGAATCCTTCTGTAACATTTCAGCTCAGCTCAAAAGCCCCCATTTTCCTTCAGACTTGGGGATAGTCCATGACTCACATCAGTAATTAGAAGCATCCTCCCCCCCCCCCTTTTCCAACAGCCACATCGGTTTAACCTTGGGCTCCACCACACAATCTTCATAAAAGCAGCAGTGCCTGCGTCGTAACCAGACAACCTTCATTGTAAAGATGGCACATAAGTTGTTTCTGAACCACAGCTGACCTAGTTACAACAAATCTAATTACAGTTTACGTCCTCATCATCACCACCATCATCATCATCACCACCACTACCACCATCATCATCACTACCACTATAACCATCATCATCACCACCACTACCACCATCATCATCACTACCACAACCACCATCATCATCACCACCACTGCCATCATCATCATCACTACCACCATCATCATCACCACCATAACCACCATCATCATCACCACCACTACCACCATCATCATCACCACCACTACCACCATCATCATCACCACCACTATCACCACCATCATCATCATCACCACCACTACCACCATCATGATCACCACCACTATCACCACCATCATCATCATCACCATCATCATCACCATCATCATCACCACCACTACCACCATCATCATCACCACCACTATCACCATCATCATCATCACCACCACTACCACCATCATGATCATCACCACTATCACCACCACCATCATCATCACCATCATCATCACCACCACCATCATGATCATCACCACGACTATAACCATCACCATCATCATCATCAACACCACTACCACCATCATGATCACCACCACTATCACCACCATCATCATCATCACCACCACTATCACCACCATCATCATCATCACCACCACTATCAC